GTCGTATCAGTGACGCAGCGAAGCAGCCGATAGACCGCGTAGAGGGGAAACTCAAGCAGACGACGCAAACGTACCGTGACGTCGCGACAACGCGCAACGGCACGTCACAAAACGACCGCGCATCAATCGAGAAACACGTGCAAATTCGCGAGTGGACAATTTCGACAAGCAGACAAGAGACGCATGCCGAAAGGATAGTGAGTCCGAATCGCTCGACAACCGAGAACACGAGCTATTAGAATTGTTGCAAGAAGAACTGAAGGCAACGAAAAAACGCGAGAAGAAAGAAACGTATCGCATCGATGGAGAAAACGCTCGAAGAACTGCGAAAAAAACCAATCACCGATACGAGAGTGAAGGAGAGGAAGTTCTCAACCAACTAAAACAAAGTTTGATTGAGACAAATTCCGAATCCCATACACATGTCGACAAATGCATTCTCGTCAACTATGCAAACGACATCGTTGTGACAGTGACAGGCATGACTAAGATCACTTGTAACAAGGGAATCGAAACATTATCCAATCTTCCGATCGCGATCACTCACGAGATCAATGGGAAAAACGCAGCTAAAAAGTCACGGCTAATTGGGCTGATAAACTCGTTACCGGATTTATGGAAGGCCCCAACAGAAATCGGCAATTCATAATTTACGATAATAAGGACTTACGACGATAACATCAAAAAAGACCGCATCTGCAAACCAACCCGAGCAGAATCAAATCGCGAATAAAGATCCGTCAACACCCGAAAATCCAAATACAGTGTCTACACATGGATCAAAGGTAACGTCGAATTCAAAAAAGAAAGAAGCTGAAGTACATAAATCGATCAAGCACAGTACTCCATCTACATCGTTTGCGAAAACACCCAAACGCAGTAAAGAACTCAGACGGCCTATAATCATCTCGGAATCTGAAGAAGAAGTGGACGAAAATCAGCCACCGAATCATCAAGATCCACCAAAGACATCCAGTGGCAAACAAAAAGCTACGCCGGGATTGAGGATCAAGAGCGTGCAAAACGTATCAAAGGAACTCAGATGCCTGATTAAAGACGCAGGAGCTCCTACAGCGATGTTTAAAACGGCGAAACAAAAGTAAAGTTCGTACGTCAACGTCTTCTCAAGAGTCGTCCGACGAAGATAAATTCAGTCGAAAGAGCCAAGGCCGAAAAGACTAAGCGACAGGATAGCGCACAGACACCATCGCCTGAGCAGCCATCTGCGGATTCTGGTAAGATAATTCCAGAAGGATGATACATACTCCTGAAATAATCGAAGGGGGTATGCGACCGACCACTGGTCGCGATCCGCAGAGGTCCGCTACAGTCGAAACAGGCAAAGACACTATTCCAGATGATCCGGAAGGTGAGTCGACAGCGATCGCAAGTGATCTAAATACCCAGAACTGATACATACCAGGTGAGCGACTGATGAGCATCTCAGCGTATTCAGCAAGGTGACCCATGGTCAACAAGGTCCCCAGAGAGATCCCAGCACATCCGGGACGATAGTCGCCTAAAGATGTAAATATGTATATAGTATAATTACAGTCGTAAATTTAAGTTAAGCGATCGCGTCCATGCGTTCTTTTTATTTTATTTACAAAGCATTTGGAAGAGTGCTTGCAACGAATTCACACTTGCAGTAAGACAGTAAGTCAAGAACTGCGTTAATTAAATCTCCAACGCAAATGTCCAAATAAGGCGTAATCGCAAGATGCGATAGAGGTGCGCTGGAACCATGATCACTAGTCCAGATCATTAAGTAATCAGATACAAGTGTGAACCCGGAGCAAACGACTCTCCAAAGCCAGTTTTAGTTTTTACTAATTTTTAGTTACCGAAAAGTCAGGTGATGACTTTGGACGCCTAATTATAAGTCGTAATATAAAAACACAAAAACAGCAAATAAAAACTAAACCTTAAATTGTCTCAGCGGACATCCGAGAGATCAAAGGTCGAGATAGGGTTCCCGATGACCTGGAACCCATAACCTATAAAAACTTGAATCTTTGTTCAAAAGTAAAGGACCTAGGGATGGAACAGCATCCCAAGTCAATTTGGGACATACGCCAAAAGAACAAGATGAGATGATAAGATACACATGATCTATATCGGATGCACGCCGAGCCAAACACAAAAAATAAATATACTAAAATATATCAGCTAACATAATATATATTCTCTTAGTTAAATTAAGTATATAACCGATAGGCTAATATTAAGGTCGAATAAACGAGACTCCCGAATGTTGAGACATTACCGTTACGTTTGTTTACCTGTAAAAAGTTATTTACGTTTATTGGCATTTTAGTTAAACATTCGAGACATTCGTTTATTCCTAAACAAACTTGTGGTGGCAATATTTTAATAATAATTTATTTTTAGTTGTTTACGGAACACCCACAAGAATAACGTACGTCATTATTTATTTTATAAATTATTTAGCATGTTTATGCGATAGTGAACCGATCCCGAACATCAGGACACGATAAAAGAGCGATAACCAAAAATTGGTTAAATAGGAACTCTTGTCGAACGCACCTTACACCGATAAAATACGAAATAGGAACTCTCGCTGAACACGCGCTACACTGCCGCGCAGCGATTCGCGCTGAGCCCAGCAGTGGGGCGCCGCTCCGCGATTGGCCGGCGGGCCAAGGTAGGGCAAGCGGGAGGCGCACTATAAAAGTCGGGAGCGAACATCACTCGACACAGTCGGCACGGTACGGACTCGATCGCACAGTCAGACGTAGTCTGCACGGTTCGAAGACAGTCGTACTTACGGAAGCGTAGACTTTGTTTTACGCGTATCGTGATTCGGGATAACGCGAGTGGCAGTCGTGTGAATACCGTTATTAGGCGAGTAGCATCTTTGCGTGCGAAAGTTGTGCGACTTGTCCGGGACAATACCGTCTCGTTAATTTCGTTCGATCAGTGTATTCGCGTGCAACTGCTAGACGAGCCACGGCGAATCTAGTCCGCGATAAAGTCACAATCGTTACGAGACCGTTCAACGAATGCGCAAACTAATAGGCGGCATAACGCTTGTCGCAAGCGAACTGATCGCGAGTGTTTGTGAACGGTAAAATTTACCGTCGTGCGGAAATCAAGCGAGTGTAATCCGTAGCCATTGTACAGAGTTCAAGCGTAGGACGCTATTGAATAAACGTTCGTAGTGAAACCTGAAAAAACGTGATCTGTTACTTACCTACGTATCCGCATCCCACGTCGTATCTCCTTCGGGTGTGAATCCGTTCCTAGGGCGTAGAATAGTCCGTCGGTATCCTGAAATCAAAGGAGTGAAAGCAATTAGTCAAGTTCCTGCGAATTTTCATTGTTCGCACTCTCCTGACGCAACATCGACCTGCGTCGCAGCAGCGGCCATCTTCAAAGGACGGCGCGGCATACATCAAGGACGGCTCGAGCCTGGCGGCATCACCGAGCGTACCTACATCAAAGGGACACTTTGGCTACTTCCACCTTCTTACTTGTTGAGGTTAAAGTAAGTGGCGACCATCAAAGGTGAAAGCGGGACGTCTGTTGGCTGGTAAGTCGGAAGGAGGGCCTCTTCTCTCACAACGTTCGGTCACAATACAACGCCTTGAGTGCGATAGAGCGAGAGTCACCAAATTCACTAACACTCTTCTTGAGAGGCAAGCGTACAACAAATCGTCCGTTGACGTCGCGAGAATGAGTCATTTTGAAATGTTCTTCGCACTGAGATTCTTCTGGAGACATTGAGATTTGAGAGGCAGGCGCGATTTCCTCTTGTGTCCAGAAGCGTTGAAGGAGCTCCAGGAGCTCAGAGTCGAGAGAGCACTGAAGACCGATGACTGAGTTGTTTTCCATGGCGTTGGTCTTCGAATTATCATTTGAGAGGGGCCCTGATAGCACCCATCCGAGAGTCGTTTCTTGAGCGATGGGTTCGCCGATATTTCCTCGACGAATACCGTCTTTGAGTATTTGAGCGTGCACCGTTACACTTAGTATGAGATCGATTTTGTCGGGCGTGGCGAAGTTTGGATCCGCGAGCTCGAGACCTTGTATGTGCGGCCACTGAGTATATTCGACACGCGCGGGAGGCAGATAGGACGTTAATTTCGGCAGTACGAGAGCATCGACTTCGAGAGAACTGTCTTTATGCACTTGAGATATCACTTTGAGACAGACGAGTCCGTTTGATATGCTTGAGCGATGAGCTCCGATGCCGAGAATCGGAATAGCCGCCGCTTGACGCGAGAGTTTTAATAATTGGGCGACCGATTCCGAGACAAACGAGACTTCCGATCCTTGATCGATAAGAGCGCGCACTTGATAGATATCTCCGGTTGATGACACTACGTTTACGAGAGCTGTGGCTAATAGAACCGGAGTGCGACGGATTATCCGCGATTGAGCGACGTGACTTGATGTCACGGAGTTTGAGATTTGCTCGGTATTCCGTAGAGGAGCAACAGATTCGTGTGGCGGAATACCTGCAGTATGAATTGTCGGCGGAGACGATGTGATTGTCTTGACGACAGGCGTCGACGAGTCTGAGTGTGCAGCTGATGCACCGATCGCTGCGTTACCGGCTTGATAATGTAACGTGGAGTGATGTTGCTTGTGGCAGAGACGACAGCGTTTTGTTGAGCGGCATGATTTTATCTGATGAGGCCCGAGACAATTAAAGCAGAGATTTTTCGAAATTATTACTTCCTTTCGCTGCATGGGTGTCTTTTCGAGATACTTTGGACACGAGGCAATGTAATGTCCCGATGAACACAACGCACACTTTTGATCAGTCACAGTAGCGGTATATGCCCGAGCGTGAGCTGGAGATCGAGGTGCACTTGCGTTTTGTTTCCGAGAATTCGTTGTTCGTTCGAAGGCTTCGAGAGTGAGAATACGACCGAGAAGAAAATTTCTCGAAGTCGGCGAACGATGGTGGTTGCGATGTGGCTCCGAGTGATTTTTCCCACTCCTTAACAGATTCGACATCTAGTTTGCGCACTGTCATAAAGGTGAGAATGATGTCCCAGTGATGAACTGGGCAGCCCAATGTAGCGAGGGCTCCGATTGCTTCCTTCAATTCGCAGAGAAGGCGTTTCACTTCCGATGCACATTCGGATTTCGCCTTGCGAATCGAAAACAGAGCGGAGAGCTGAGCCTCTATCAGGATACGCTTGTTGTCGTAACGGTCAATGAGAGTATCCCATGCGCGATTGAATCCTTCACTTGATATCTCAACGCCTTTCAAGAGAGTAGCCGGTTCATTCGATAGGCTCATCTTTAAATAATGAAGCTTTTCGACAGCAGAGAGATCGGTATTCGCGTTGATCATAGAGGCAAAGAGATCTCTGAAATGACTCCACTGCGAATATTCGCCGTTGAATTTCGGCAAATCGATGCGAGGCAAACGTCGAGAATGAGATGCGGACGATGAGTTCATAAAAGTTTCGGCTGACGTATTCTGTTGAGGTGGTTCAAAACTGTCGAGGATAGTGAGCATAGTGCCTTGCGCTTCGGCAAATTTCTCTTCGCATTGCTCGTAGATCCTATCGACAACGTAGTCCAGCTTCTTTAATTCTGACGATTTCAGCTTGTATAGATTTTCGTGTTGAGCCTGGAATTTTTCCCAATTTGCCTTTAAAATTGTTAAGCGACTTTGCACCGCACCACGGGTGGTCCTCGAAGGACCGAGCTTTTGTAGGTTCTCGCAAGCGCGAGCGATGAGGCCGAAAAGTTCATTCTGGCGATCGAGAAGGGCTTCGAGAGTCATCCTGCCGATTATAGATGATGAGAAGTTCGAGAGTCAATGCACACATTCACAGTTGCACTGTGAACGAGATTGATGTGTCACCTTTGATCGCGGTGAGAGATATTCAACACTATTGTCACGCGCGGTATAGAAAGATGCGAGTAGCTGTGAGAGATAGAGAATCGATAAACGCGACGACTCACTTTCCGAGAGTTACGTAAATCTCGAGAATTTCGGTTAAAAGAGAGCGCGAAACTACGCCCGCGATCCGCGTATCCGGCTCGAAGGACCAAGTAATGTTGAGATATACGCGTGATCCGGCACTGGCGACGTCGAAATCTTGAGATTGTTAGGAAAGTAATTAGAGGAGAACTTGTCGTGGATATCGATTTATTCTTTACGAACGCTGAGAGACGACTGACCCGTCCGCAGACGGCAAGCCGTGAATTTTGACAAACAAGTATGAAGAGGGGTTGACAAACAGTTTTGATAGATTATAATATCTCATGTACAGATAAAGAGAGAGTGTACACAGAAATGTAGAGGACACATGACTCCTTTGTATTACGAACGCGAAGTCGGCGCGAAAACAACAAAAAGGTGCGCAAATAAGAACGCGGAGACAGTATCCATAGAATTTAACTCGATAACATTTACAGACAATATTTGCTTGACGTTCGAATTTACCGTTCGTGACTTTACTAAATTTTAGAAGCGAAATATTACTAAACATGACGATACAACGTGATCTTAAAATGGATATAATTTTATTACATTATTGTGTGAAAACAA